TTGATACCAAAATCGATATTCATGAAACTAGACGGGTATCATGCCCATCCCACCTCGGTCATTCTACAGTTGGCTGACTAGTCTTATGTGCGACCTAAGGGCAGAATTGAAGACGTTGCAGTAAAGGTGAATAAATTCGTATATCCAGTGGATTTTCTCATTCTGGATTACAAAGCCGATGAAAATGCACCAATCATTTTGGGACGCCCATTCTTAGCCACCGGGAGAATTTTAATAGATTGTGAAAAGGGAGAATTCACCATGAGAGTTGGCGGGCAAAATGTCACGATCAATGTTTTCAACTCTATGAAATAGACAGATGATCTAGAGGAATGTTAATACATTAGTAAGATTGAAGAAAAGACAATCCTTGGACGAGGTGAATCCCTAAGGCTCGATGAGTACAATACTTTGTACCATGAACCTACAACCGAGATGCATAAAGCAGAAAACTTTGGCCCAGATGAACTATTTTCAGAAGACGGTTTTGACAATCATGGCCACAACAACAGAAATCTACACAATGAACACCCTGAAAGCGACGACAATGCAAAACACGGTGAAAAGACAATTAAAATTTCTTCATAGGTCAGGTATGAAATTCGAACCTTTAGATTATAAAGTTAAATCTCAAGAATCATCTTCACAACATGCATCGAAATTGGAGCTTAAGACTTTACCATCACATTTGAAATATGCTTATCTAGGAGTTGATGAAAACTTAACCAGTGATAATCTCTGCCAACCTAACCTCCGAACAGGAGAAGAGTTTGTTGCATGTTTTGTCACAACAAAGAAAAGCTATAGGATGGACGATGACATGCTTGAAAGGAATCAGTCCAACCATATGCATACACAAAATCAATCTTGAAGATAGCCATAGTACCTCGGTGGAACCCCAAAGACAGCTTAACCCGATCATGAAGAAGGTTGTCATGAAGGAAATAATAAAATGGCTGGATGCGAGAGTGATTTATCTTATATCCGATAGTTCATGGGTTAGCCCAGTCCAATGCGTGCCAAAGAAAGGTGGTGTAACCGTGGTTAAAAGCGAGCATGATGAGTTACTCACCACGAGAACAGTCACGGGCTGGCGCATATGCATGGATTATAAGAAGCTCAACAAAGCCACAAAGAAGGATCATTTTCCCCTCCCTTTAATCGATCAAATGTTGGATAGATTAGCTGGAAAGGCATTTTATTGCTTCCTCGATGGATACTCGGGGTATAATCAAATTGCCATAACACCCGAAGACCAAGAGAAAACAACATTCACATGCCCGTATGGTACCTATGCATTTAGGCGAATGCCGTTTGGACTGTGTAACACTCCAGCTACATTCCAACGATGCATGATGGCAATATTTTCAGAATGGTGAAAGTGTGCATGGAAATATTTGGACGACTTCTCCGTTTCGAGTGATGACTTTGACCGATGCCTCGATAATTTATCCAAGGTGTTGAAACGTTGTGAAGAAGCCAACCTAGTACTGAATTGGGAAAAATGCCATTTTATGGTAACTAAAGGAATAGTGTTGGGACACAAAATTTCATGGCATGGCATCGAAGTCGACAAAGCCAAGGTGGATGTAATTGCAAATCTTCCCCCACCCACTAATGTGCGAGGTGTACGCAGTTTCCTTGGACATGCATGATTCTATAGGCGGTTCATAAAAGACTTTTCTCAAATCTCTAAACCTTTATGTCTTTTGCTTCAACAAAATCATCCATTTAAATTTACTAATGATTGTTTGAATGCCTTCACAGATTTGAAGAAAAAGCTTTCAGCAGCGCCAATAATTATCCCACAAGACTGGAATGAACCATTTGAGCTTATGTGTGACTTGGTGACTATGCAGTCGGAGCAGTTCTAGGGCAACGAAAAAATAAAATTTGTCATGTTATCTACTATGCAAGCCGAACGCTTAATGATGCTCAAGTGAACTATACCACCACTGAAAAGGAACTCTTAGCAGTAGTATTTGCATTCGATAAGTTTAGGCAATATCTAATAGGCACAAAGGTAATTGTGCACATAGATCACTCAGCTATTAAATATATGATTAATAAAAAAGATGCAAAGCCTAGACTAATTCAATGGATAATATTACTGCAAGAATTTGATTTAGAGATCAAGGATAGAAAAGGTATAGAAAATCAAGTAGCAGACCATTTGTCTAGGCTAGATAACAAACCTGATTGTCCTGACATCACAGATATTAAAGAGGATTTCTCTGATGAAAAAATATTTTTTTTCACGACTGCACCGTGGTATGTTGACATCGTTAATTTTCTTGTTAGTGGTATTGTTCCTCTTGATCTATCTAGCCAGGGAAAACGAAAATTTCGACACGATGTGCAGCATTACTACTGGGAGGAACCATTCCTATTCAAGCAGTGCGGAGACCAAATAATCCGAAGGTGCATTCCAGAAAAAGAGCAGCAAGATATCCTACTCTAATTCCACTCGTCACATATGGAGGGTATTTTTGTGGGACGAGGACGGTAGTAAAAATGCTTCAGTCAGGATTTTATTAGCCAACCCTGTTCAAAGATGTTCATGAATTCTACAAGTCATGTGATAGATGCCAATGAATAGGAAACATCTTGAAACGGCATGAGATGCCATGGTAAAACATTCTGGAGATCAAACTTTTCGATGTATGGGGCTTAAATTTCTTGGGATCTTTTCCAACATCATTCGAAGATATGTACATTCTCTTAGTAGTGGATTACGTATCAAAATGGCTTGAAGCCATTTCAATACCTAAGAACGATTACAAGACGGTGTTGAAGTTTTTGCACAAAAATATATTCACCCGCTTTAGGACATCACGAGCTCTCATTAGCAATGAAGGGACACATTTTGATAATAAATTGATTGCCAAGGCACTGAAAAGATATGGAGTACGACATAGAATTGATATGGCGTATCACCCTCAGACGAATGGACAAGCCGAAGTATCTAACCGAGAAATCAAGCAGATCCTCAAAAAAATGGTTAAAACCAAGTTAAAAATATTGGTCACCGAAGCTAGATGAAGCACTATGGGCCTATCGCACAACATTCAAGACACCGCTGGGAATATCCCCATTTAAGCTAATCTATGGAAATGAATGTCATATACCGGTTAAACTCGAACACAAAGCTTATTGGGACATCAAAAAGATAAACATGGATGCTCAGCTTGCTGGAGAAAGAAGACTATTGGAACTAAACGAGATGGATGAATTTAGAGCACATGTATACGAGAATGGCCACCTTTACAAAGAGAAAACAAAATGATGACATGACATAAAATATTGCAGAGGCAATTTTATTTTGGACAACAAGTACTGCTCTACAACTCATGCCTTAAGTTATTCCCAGGTAAGCTAAAATCACGATAGTCAGGACCATTTATCGTACACCAAGTCCATGACAATGGACCAATTGAAATTCAGAACCAAAACGATGGTTCCATCTTCAAAGTGAATGGGCAGAGACTCAAGGAGTACAAAGGAGCCCCAGTCATGCGCGACAAACTGGCATCGTTGGCACACGATGCCCAAGAGTTTGCTATTCTTAATTGAGCAAATATTCGTTGCCTAGGCAACGAAAATATGAATTCTGTACATAAATAAGTTAAGTTATTTTATGCTTTAATCCATTTTATTTTATTATTCTATTCTCTCATATTGTAGGTAAGTAAGGAACACGTGGCAGCATGGGGAGTTGAAGCATTCATGAAGGAGAAAGGACGAGCTAGGGCAAAAGGTTTTGGTGGCATAACAAAAGGGAAAGAAATCTTTTCCCTTCCTTTACATCAAATCACATATTTCTCATTTAATGAGAAATCTTTTCCCCACCGAGAAAATACGCAAATACCCCGAAACCAACCATCACTTTCCAAGAAAAAACTACCCACTCTTCTTCTTCTTCATCATGTTTTCATCTTTCACTACAAACCATAAAATTTGTCTAAAAAATACCTCCTCATCACCACCACTAAAATCAACCAAGAAAAATGGTGAGATCGAGACTGGCCCCACCCCCCAGACAGAGTTTTGAACGTTTCCAAACAGCCGAAGCAAAGGCACGCTTCAAAACCATTCATCAACGCCAAGTCTATTTAGAAGATGGATTCATTTTCCCAGCCAAGGGAGAAGAGCAGTTTGGCCCTGAGGTGATGGACGTTATAAAGAAGTATAACTGGTAGAAGTTTGCTCGTAAGCCTAACGCCGTAGAACCGATAATGGTGAGGGAGTTCTATGCCCACCTCGTGAACACCTCCAACTACACGATATATGTTCGAGAAAAACTCATTCTCTTTTTCCCTTCTGCACTTAACAAATACTTTAAGTTGGGGAAGATGGATCATCGACACAAGAAATTTGTGACCGAGGCAGATCAAGAAACGTACAATGCAGTTCTATAAGATTTATGTTTTGGGTGGGCCAAGTTCGAAGGGAAAGCCCCCACAAGAAAGCGAGTAGATCGTCGTGCCCTTAAGCCACATGTAAAACTACCGAACCATTTTCTTAAAGGCAAGCTGATGCCAACGTCCCACAACACCACTGTCCTCGTGAAGCGACTGATGCTGTTGCACTCGATCATATACGGCAGGATGATCGATGTGGGTGAAATCATCTTTGAGCAGATCCATGACTGTGCCAAGAGGAACCGTGGTAACCTACGATTCCTAAACCTTATAATCGCACTGTGCAGAAAGAAAAAGGTTTCTGAGGACCCATTCGAAGACTTCATCAAACCCAAGGAGGGTATTACAAAGAAAAAGGTCCCCGAGTTGATGAGTTTCAATGATGACGACCCAAAGGAGGGTCTGGAGCGAGGAGCAAAATCGGTTGCCGTGGCTAGAATGGTCGTTGTGGTCACACACACGCGTAAGACGCGTGAAAAGATTGGGTGCCTGGAGGACCACATGAAAATTTACTTTGAATATGCCAAGGTAAGGGACATGCAACTCAACGCCTTCATCAAGGAGTTGCTCCCAACCACAATGATCAGACTGCCAACCTTCCCCGGTGTCATCCTCAACTACAATACGGGCGGCAACACATTCCATGCCTCGACATCTTATGTCCCTCCAGACGTTCCACCAGGGGTGGCCACTGATGTGCCACCATTGGCAACCCATGTCTCACCCGTAACAGAAGAAAGCCACGGTGACACCGAGGAGTTCCTCAGTTCCTCATTATTCTCCACCATCGAAAGCAGCAGTGATACTCCACCCCACTTCTTCACTGATGAAGACTTCACGCCAGCACCGAAGAAGCCTGAGAAGGATCCTATTCCATCCCCAGTTCAATCGACACCACCAGCCCCAACAAAAACTCCTAGTCCACCACCAGTTCCAGTACAACCGACTCCTGCGACCGAGCAGTCTACTCCAGCCCGCTCTTTGACCAGCAAGAAGCGATACAAGAGAACGACGGGCCGTATACTTTAGCCATCTCCTTCTCAGCCAGAAGCAGTAGACTCGGGATCCGAGAGCCCTTCCCCTCCCAAACGACGCTGGACGAGGGCGTCAAGTCAAGCCACACCACCACAGTAAGTTTTTTTAATCTTTGTTTTTATTTTTATTTTCGCATTTGCATATAATAGCATTTAATGTAGTTTTCATGCATTGAGGACAAGGCATCCCTCAAGTTTAGGGGAGGTGTTGTCCACTATGCCATACTTTGTTAAATAGTAATTGATGTTAATTGGTTGAAAATTTTGGTTGTAATGACATAAGCAGGTTAAGATTATTTTTAGGAATGAATTAGGGATGCCCAATGATGAATGCAAAATTCTATTGCCTAGGCCAGAATTATTGTAAAGACTGTCTGAAGAAGAGAACCAACCCTAGGCTTGATCCTTTGAAACTTATAAACATGATTGTAGGATGTCTTTGCTATAGGTAATTTGTAAAATTTTAGGAAAATAACTTTCTAATTGCCGAGACTTCAAAAATATTCTAAGGCATATGAGTGAATGAAAGTAGTCACAGGATGACTTTACCCGACTAGCTTGGGGGTGGAATGTATGCTCCCTCTCACCTAGAGTGTGGAACGATAGTTGTGATGAGCTGACTCCCCTGTATAAAAAAAATGTGAATAAAGAGAATAAAAGTTGATAAATAACTAGGAGTATAAACTAAGCCTGACGAATAATTTGTTGCCTTGACAACCTAGAAGTGCTTACTTTAAGTTTTCTAATCACCTCTATGCATAGACTGGTTACAATCATGCACACACAATAGCAAAGGATCCTGATTAGGGAGGGGACTTGACTAATATGACTGTTGAACATGTCGAGGCCACATAGTTTTGCTGAGGGCTGAAATCTCAAACCTGATGATGTTCTTGATACTTCTTTTCCATGACAATTTTAATTTTCTTCTAGCTATTATCCATTGCTTGAGGACAAGCAATAGCTTAAGTTTGGGGGTGTGATAACTCCGTAAAAGGACTTAATTTATAGTCTTTTCACTTAAGTTATTGCTCGTTTAAACAAAGTATGCATTGCATTTTTAGTTGTATTTAGTTACATATAGGTTATATTTTCTTTTCGTGGATAAGTTTTGCCTAGGCAAGATTTATTTGGCTTAACTGATACTGCTGAGGAGAAGGGGTTGCTTGAGTTATATTTGTGGAAGAACTCTACAGAGGAAGAACATTTCAGTCGTGACAATGAAAACATTTCAGTCGTGACAATGAAAAGTTGTAAAGGCTAAGAGAGCGGATGAGAACGTAAGGAGTAGATTTATCTCGCCGAGGCAAGATTTATCTGAAGAAGTCTGAAGCACATGTGGCGAAACTGGCTATGTCACATGCCAACTGGATGACCTATTTCATGTGTAAGCAAGCCTTAATAATTTTGACAGCCACTAGCCGCCTTTTCATTTTAAGTTTGGGAAATTAATAACGACTAATTAAGGAAACTCCAAAAGCACACAAAGCCCTATGAGATTCTCCTTATAATTACCAGCCGTAGCCGTAAAAAAAGAATAGGCAAGGAAGAAGAAAGAAGAACGTTACCTTAGGCGTGAGCAAGCAGCTGCAGTGATTTCCCTCCGTCTACCCCCTAGTCTTCCTTGGTGTCCTCCATAGCCAAACGATAGCAGAGCGATGATCAGGCCTCGAGAGAGGGTGATCACCAAGGCAGGCGTGGTGCTGATCAAGATTGTCGTGATAGAGCCCCGGTTTTGGGAGTCGTTCTTCCTTTGTTTATAAACTCTAATTCTATTTAGGGTTATATTAAACGATTTAATATTGGATGATCTTTGATAACACCATGAATACTTTACTTGGTGTTAAACTTTGTTTGCCTGAACAATATTTTTATGTTTATGAATGATGAATTATGTTTGCTTATGATTGTTTTGCTCATAGTTTAAATATTTTGCCTTAACACTGTAAGAGCATCGAGAGATCGCCTGGGGTTTCGGTAAAACATGTCTGGGCATTGTAAGAGCATCGAGAGATAGCCTTTTGTCTAGAAAGTGATTCTTGAATTCGATAGAATTAAGAGAGATCAATGTGAGCAAAGGAATGAATCTGGGATGGTGAAGTTCTAACTTGTCTACCTTAGAGATAAGGAGTGAGTTTTAAACGACTAAAAGGGATAACTGCTAGAGTAGGTTAAGACAACGTATATAGTTAATGCTGAGAGGTATTGCCATAGCAACTGTCTAAGAATACCTAGTAATCCTGTCGGACAGTTTAGTGAGTCATAATAATTCATTATGGGCTTAAAAAGATTGTTGCCGAGACAATAGTTTAGCATCAGTGCTCTGTGACACGCCTGAATATGTGAGATTGTTTGCATTATATTTAATCCATTACTTGTTTTGTTTTGTTTTATCTGTCTGTATATTTTCTTTGTCTCGATCACACTTGTCTACAATCATTGAATCATTATTCCTAGCTCCTTAATATTAGTTCTTAGCTTTAATACTTAGTAGGATTAATTTGTGGCATTAGTTCTAGTTGTGGTGAAAAGATATTTCTAATCCAATCCCTGTGGAGACGATACTCACTCACTACTATATTACTTGCATCGATTGTGTATACTTGCACAGATTATCTTGCCTTAGCAGATACATTCACAGCGATCACCTATCGGAATACCCTTGAGTACTCTGGGGTGAGATTTAAAATCTGCATAAGAAACGTACACCCGACCAACTTACTCCATTGAGTCTTGGGGCATCTGCACCCATTCGACAGCTGAAGTGCCTTGACACTGACTGGATATCCACTGACGGATTATGCTAAAGAGACTTGAGTGTCCTGACTATTTCTCGAGTGTTAAACAAGGCTAGTTTTATGAAATCCTAGTTGTTACTGTTTTTACTGTTTTGTTATTAATAACTATTCTCTCTTGAAGACTTATTTACTGATATTATGATATATTTGGGGCACCTCGAGTCTAGTCCCTTAATACTTAGATTATTTATCCAAAACTGCCCGTGGGTATCGATACTGACCCTTTAGTATCGATATCAAACCCTGAGTATCGATACCCACCTGTTGATATCGATATTGATTTCTTAACAAATGCTGATTGGGAAAGTTAGTACCGATACTCCTGGATGAGTATTAATACTCTGAGGATTGGGTATCGATACTAGCCTGAGTATCGATACCAAAAAGGTATTCTGGAATATGATTTGTGGCCCCGGTATCGATACCCCTACCTTGGTATCGATACTTTATGTTGGTACCGATACCAAAATTGTATCTTAGAATATTGGTCTCGATACCAACTCGTTCAGTATCGAAATCGAGACTCTATTATCGATACTCCTTCAGTGAGTATCGATACTACCCCTTAGAAATTACCTAATTTTTGTTTGAATGATGAACAATACAATATCAATACTCCTACTTCGAGGTGCCCTATTTTGGCATGAAAAATCCTATCTTTCTACCCTAAAAGCCCTATTGATGTCCTCAACTGATGTTTAAGTGTTTTATATGATAATAGGGGTCATAAAGAGTCCATAAACATGTTGAAAACACCCAAACAATGTAATATACCATGAACAAGCTTCAAGCTTATGTAACTGATAACCCCACAAAAAAGCTATGTTTCTTGCCATTTTACTTAGGTTATTGATTGTTTAAAAGCTCATTTCATCGCATATCATTGCATATAATATATTCATTTGCATTTGGTCATATTTCATTGCCTTTATTTTTTTTTCTAAAATTTGTGCTGCTTGAGGGAGGTTTGCTCTGTAGTGGGGATGTGCAAGTAGCTTAGGAAAACTAAGGGGAGAGGATGATTATGCTGCGTAAAAAAAGATAGCATTTCTGGGCACACTAGAAGACAAAAGAATATGATATTTATTATGGTTGCACACATATGACCCCTACACGTGAAGGGTATATTCCTTAGGGCATCATTAAGAATGAAGGCACAAAACCCTAAAAGCCCCCACTATAAAAAAAGGACACCACATTTATGAAAGAAGAGTGCATGATATAAGAAATAGAAAAAGAAGAGGCGGTCACTCTTTAACCATTTCTTCTTCACAAGGTGACCTTCATTGTTAAAGCTCCAAGGGGATAAGCTTGCTGGACTTTAAAAGAAAAAGTATCACTTAGGGTGGTTCATGGTGTTACACTACAGCTCTTGGCTTGGGAGTATTCTTCCTTCATTTTGTTACTTTTATTTCCTCCACTTATTTCTGAAATGGGTTGTATTAAATGAATGATTATGGATGCTTGTTACCTAGCCATGAACTAACTTATGTTGTTTTGGGTTTATTTTGGATGAATATGTTTTTCTTTTGATGAATGTCATAATATTTTCAGTTTACCTTCATGTTGTGTTCACAATTTATTGCTTGGATATGTAAAAGCTTTCGAGAGATGGCCTTTATCTTGTTTGATGCTTGGATCTACATGAACAATGGGGTGGATCTGTTTAGAAAAACCTTAACTTGATTTAGAGATAAGGAAAGAGTTTCAATGACTAAAAGAAGTAGAGCTTAAACGATAGTATCTTACTAGGGTTTACGTTGAGAGATATTTCTTTAACATTATTCTGTCAGGTTTCTTGCAAGAGATAATTTAGAAACAGCTTAGAAAACTCAGTCGAGCATCATGTAAGCTGAGAATTGTTGACATTCATTGAGGTAAGACATAGGATTCCAAGGTAAACCTAGCCATTTAGCCTTGTTAATAGTTTTATTCGTGTGAGGTCAGATCGTGGTCTTATTTTTGCAACTTTTCTAAACTTATAGTTTTGTCACAGTATTTCTTACTTAAATATTTGCCACAACATTTAGATATAATTGAAACTTGTTATCACACTCGTAGTCAATTGTTCATACTATCTTTATTTAGTTTGTTAATATTTTAAGTGCACAATCTTTACTCGAAATCCCTCCAATCCCTGTGGAGACGATACACACTCATCACTTTATTACTTGTTCGATGTGTATACTTGCAGAAA